GGGCCTTCTCCTCTGCTCTTGTCTGGGCTTGCACATGACTAACTGCAGGCTTGAGGGATTTGCATTAGCAGATCATAAGTAAAAATCCCATTAAAATGACAGTCTCCTCATCGTTATGATCCCTTTTCAAGAGGTACACTGGATTGCCAGGGCATTTCTTGGGGTTGCTTGGTAATGGATTTACTTGGCAGTCCATATACCCTGGCAAAGGCCTTCTGAGGTGTAGGGCAAAGGGGTGGGCTTTTTGGAAGCACTCAGCTCCTTCATGACAACTACCACACTCCCTGGGCACACACCTGAAGAGCTATGTGGAAGCCCAGCCACCTATCACGCCCTGGTTTCCATGCTGACAAGTAGCATCTGTCATGTGATTGATCTCCTGGCTGTGGAAAGAGAAGTGGAAGACCCTGATTCTATCACAACCCCTGCTACTGGCCCCACTGAATGGCCTGGCCTGAGTTACATTTGCTTAAATGTGATACATTTTATGAACATCATACTAGCATTCCTCACATTTGCATCCCTCAAATTCTTAGTCTTCTATTGAATAACAAAATGCTTTGATTGTGGTCCATTCTTTGGGGATAAATTACCAACTCAATAACATGATATAAAAAGCCTCTTGGCATTTAATTCCCACCTGCTCCTCCAAACTGGGGTCCTAACACCTGTTGAAACTGTACCCAAGCCTCTGTGTCCCTGTCTTTTAAGTAAAAGGCTTTTGCTTTAGTCTCCCAGGCCTCCCCTGAGTCTTAAAAGAATCCCTAAGGTGGGCCAGGAATTTAAAAACACACAAAACATTAGACTGCCTTAAAAGAGTTAATGATTAGGAATGTGAAGATGTAGAAACAAAGAAGAGCTGTTGGGCCAGGAAGCTGGTAACAGTTGAGACTATAAACCACCCACATAGCAGAGTCACCAGACCCACCAGATGAAAACTGCTGACCAAGAGCACGTAGACCCCAGACTGGTTGAAACCAGAAGATTGGTGATGCTTGAAACTTCACCTTGATGCCAACCAATCTGAGAATTGTGCACGAGCTGATCATGTACGCTGAGGGCCCCTCCCTCACACTGCCTTTAAAAACTCTTCCCTGAAAGCCATCAAGGGGTTCAGGTCTTTTGAGCATGAGCTGCCCATTCTCCTTGCTTGGCACCCTGCAATAAATGCTGTGTTTTCCTTCACCATAACCTGTGTCAGTAGATTGGCTTTACTGCATGCAGGAGAGAGGACCCAAGTCCAGGTTCCGTAACACTGTCAACACCTTCCCCTTCCACCCCGTCCTTGTGCCCTGACACACAGAAAGCTTACAGTCCCCTGAAGATGGCCCTCCTAGTCATTCCTTGCCAGCTACCTGGCTCCATACCTCTGAGCCCTCCCACCCTTCCCAGTGGCAGGTGCCCCTGGAATGGGCTCCCACAGACTCCCCCTACCTGGCCCCCTGCCTTCTGTCCCAGCACACATCACATAGGACTGTACATAGGATTGTACACAGTCTGTTTATGTGTTTGTTTGCCCCATTATCATGGATACTTCCAGAGAGCAGAGGCTTTAGTTTAGCTGCAGAGCCTGGCACACAGTTTATGCTCAGAATAAATGAGGTCCCGTCAGGCAGTAGAACATTTATTATGCTTTGGAATCCCTAAGGTGGGCCAGGAATTTGAATACACACAATACATTAGACTGGCTTGAGCCCTTTCTGGCCAAGGCCAGGAAGTTTTGTAATAGTTACAAAGCCACTGGTGGTAAAGTCAGTGAGATCTTTGAAATAATATATTATCAAGATCAAAGCTGAACGTTTGAGACCCAGAGAGTGAAAATGGCAAAATTTTAGAATTTTAAAGTGTTCCATAAAAATGGATCAAACAATCAATTAATCACCAGGAGGTTTTAAAAGATCTCAATTTTCCTTTTCTTCTTCCCTCTCTCCCTCCCTCACTCCATTTCTCCTTTCTTTTGATCTCAGTATCCCTTCATCATTATGCCAACTTTTACTGGGCACCAACTGTGTGCTCAGGGCTACAATTTGCACTGAGAATTTGGAGAGAGTAAGACACAGTCCTGCCCACCAGGATCTCAGCACCAAGTGAGCAGAGAGGAAGGACAAATGGGTCACTAGGATAGAGTAAGTATTGGGGAGTCTGGGAAGCATAGAGTCTGGGGAGCACAGAGGAGAGGCAAACTACTCACAGGGTGACCTGGAATGGCTTCCTGAGGGAGGATACTCTATCAGGTATACACAGTTTGGGCATCAAGTGATTTACTTCCAAGAAACTTCTGGTAAGTTTCTGTCTACATAGGGAGTTAAATAGGGGACAGAGAAAGCTGGGCTTGTCTGTATATACCATTGGATTGCTAGCATGAGTTTGGTGGAGGTTTCCTATATCCCACCCACTGTGGCTCCTTTCAGGGCATGAGCAGCTGTCCAAGTGAGCTGGGGCTTCTGGTCATCAATAGGCAGCCTTTACATTTTTTAATATTAATTTCTTTAGTAGAAGAATACTATAAACTGAATTATGTCCCTGCAAAATTCATATGTTGAAGCCCTAACCCCCAAACATAGCTGTATTTGGAGAAAGGGCCTAACCTTCATTAGGAGGTAATGAAGGTTAAATGAGGTCATAAGGATGGGGCCCTAATTCAATAGGGCTCATACCTGATAAGAAGAAGGAAATGTACCCAAGCTCTCTCCACCATGTGAGGACACAGTGAGAAGGCTGCTGTCTACAGCCAGGAAGAGGGCCCTCACGGGGAGGGGGGATGGAATTGGCTGGCACCTTGATTTTGGACTTCCCAGCCTCTAGAATTGTTTAAGCCACCCAGGCTGTGGTATTTGGCTGTGGCAGCCCAAGCTAAGACAAGGAAGACTGAGCTTGAACAAAGTGAAGATTTGACAGTTTCATAGGGTTTCATCAAGACTATAAACATTTTGCACTTTGCATAATTCCTATCTCTAAATTAATTTTAAATTAAAAAATAAAAACATTTAAAATTTTAATTAGCAAGTGCACCAAAGAGGCAGTCTAACATACGGAAAAAGCAGGTCCTAACCATGGTTTGCTGTGTGACCTTGGGCAAGTTACTGGACCGTGGTCTCCTGCCTCATATTATCCACCTGGCAGGACTGGGGTAGAGATGAGAATAAGCCACTCATGCAGCGTGCCTAGCACAGAGCGGGCACCCATGAATGGTAATAAATGAGATCAGAATAGTTTGGAAGGTATTCAGTGACTCTTAGCCCCTCCTTCAATTCACCACTTTGGGAACAGATTTCAGAATTCCTAAATTCACTATATTTTTTATCTATAGAACCAGAATTCGTTCCTCACCTATTTTAAATTCCAAACCCTGTGACTTCATTTGCCTGTATCAGTGCTTCTCAATCCCATCTTAGGAAATGCTGCAGGGCATCTATAATGATCTCAGGCAGTATAGCAATGTTTTTTTTTATTAAAACCCCTCATGATATGGAATTTGTTTTAATTTATCTCAATTCGTATTATGTATTTATAAAAACATCCCATAGAAGCCAAATGGCATTTTAGAAGTTAGTTGAGAGGCTGCCGGGAAGTCAAATAAACAATGTCAAGATAGCATAATTTCTGCAAGACCCAGAATTCCTAATTCAGAGGAACATATATTAGTCCAGATGCCATATTTCCAAAACCCTGGGGTACAGCAGGATGGGATTTACTGAGAATGGACTAGGCAGTTGCCACAGGGCTCTCTCAAACATCTTTTGCATCAACCTGGCATCATTGACCTTGTCACGCTGCCTGATGTTCCACCATTGAGACATTCTCTGAGGTTAATGAATCTCTCTTTTAAAGAGCATATGTCAGTACTTCTGTATGGAGGAAGGGGGGTAGCAATCATACTCATCTTGGTGGAAATGAGTTCCTTCTGGCATGCTTCCCAGTGACACACTCTGAGATCTGCCCCACTGGGGGTCTGAGGCTTAAGTAGAAAAGGGAGAGGGTGGGGTAGACACGGGTAATTGGGAAAGAGAAGGGAAAGGATTATGAAACGTTCAGCCCTAGACAAGATGAGGCAGGTGGCACCCACAGGGGGGTTTGGAGGGAGAAAAGAAGACTGGGGGCCCCAGAAGCTCCCAGAATATGGGTTGGGCAGAAAGAAAGCAAAAACGAGATACAGTAGAATGAGCATCATTTCATCTGCTTCATTAAGCAGCATCCATTCGATGACCCTCTTCCCTGCTGACTGCCACCCTCCCTTCTGACAATGTAAAACCATTGAACAAAAATGCATGCCCCCCACCTTCAAACCTAAGCAAAGGCCAACTCTGGGCTTGCTGCACTGACACTTCTTCAGCGGCACGGCCACCCAGAGAAGTGCCACCTCCGCAATCTCAGCGCTGCACAGCCCTCCGAAACAGACACTTCAAAGCTTTTGATTCCAACCAGACACTTCATTTGTCATTGACAAGTACGACACAGCGGCCCTTGTGATCACAAGTCAGAAGGCCCTGGAGTGAGGCAGTGATTTTCCCACTTCAGAAAAGAACATGAACTGCTCACAGGGCACTGTGTCACTGATGACTTCAAAGTCCTCAGGTCCCTGCTCTCAACCTGTGTCACCAAAAGCGAGGCTGCACCATCTCCCAAAGAGAGCACCAAAGAGGAGACACGGAGCATTTATGACATCAATATGCGCTAACAAAGATCAGAAACTGGGCCTGGGGATGGAGAGGATCAGCTTCCCAGGACCTCCGCGCAGAGAAAGTCGACAAGATGCACGCTGGCACCTACGGGGTGCGGGTTCTAGCCGGGAAGTGTGGCCCTCCCCACCTCCGACTGGTCTTTAAGGCTGCAGTTGCCATCCCGACTTTAAGATGCTGTGTGTTTCCCAGAGTTGATTTTCCCCCAAATCAGCAAGTGACCAGAACCGTGAGATGCCTACCCACTGCCACCATCCCTGGACTAACCAACCATCCCCGCACGCGGCTGAGCAGGGCGCAAGCACGCTGTGAGCGCCATACCTGGTCCAGCTTCCAGTGGAACTCCGCGGGGCGGAAGGTGTCTGCCTGATCGAAATCCTTGCGCAAGAGGAAGACAAGGCGGCAGTTGTGCACGTACAGGGCGTAGTGGTGCCGGTTCATTTCTGAAAAGCAGAAAGAGGATTTGAGGGGTTCCAGATTCCCTGTGCTGATCTCCACTCCATCACTTAGCACACCTCAGAAAACAAAGAAACAGGCATTCCAGTTTTCTCTTTTACAACCGGGCCTAATAAATAGTTCTAGAACACACATAGTGGAGCTCTCTGAAATGAAAGAGGAAGATTCAAGAAAGCTCACAGCAAAACTTCTGCTGAGAAGCCATTTGGGCTTTAAATACCAACCTAACTTATACTCAGATGTTGCATCAGGTCCTGGATAAAATTACGTAGGTTCACAAGCTCTTTTTGTTTTTTTTACATATACTTCTGGCAGGGTCAAAGGGCCTCTCTGACAATCACATCAGCCACTCTGGGTTCCTTTAACATAGTTGGATTCTCCCAGAGTTCTGGGCTTTTATTTTATTTCACCAGGCTTGCCAACAGCAACCACAGAGCATGTCTCCTTTTCTGCCTAATCTGTGTGCAGTGAAGGAAAGCTGCCTCACTTTTAGTTGCTGGGAGGAGGGGACATTGATTTCCCAGCGTTAGACATAGTTTCCTGAATTTCCAAAGCAATGAATAAATACTTCTTTCCCCATACACAGACAACAGATGGGACTTTTCTCTCCCCTGATAAAAAAACTTCCTTTCCCGCTTAAAAAAAAAAAAAATCACACCATGGGTCCCAGCCATGATGTCCTATAGTCACAAGATAACAGCCCTGGGAAGGTGAGGAGCTGTTCTTCGACCAGTACTCAGAGGACTCACACATAGTAGCACACACAGAAATCTAATATGATGCACATGTTTCATAAATACTGGGCTAACGAGCAGGTGACCAGATACAGCAGAAAGGGCATGGGCCCTAGATTCAGAGAGACTTGGGGTGGAGCTGTATCTCTAGATGATGCTGAGAAAGTTAGTCAGCCTCTTAGAGGCTCGATTTCCTTCATTGTATCATGACAGGGATGCTGGGCTATCCTGGTGTATCATGAGAATAGGATATTGTGATTGATTCTTGCACATCCTCTAGAAACCTTGCCCGTGGAGGTATGAGTGGGAGGAATCAACACCAGTCCCACTTCTAGGCATGGGCTTTCAGTTGGTTTCAGCCAAATAAGCTCATGAAAAGCCCCCTGCCACAGCGAGTGGCTCAGGACCCAGGCCCGAGTTCAGTAGCGCAGCCCATTCTCCTGGCCATGGGGCTTCTGTCACGAAAGTGACTCAAGTCAGGCCAGTGATTCTGGAGCTGTTCTGAATAGTTCTGGGAAAGAACTCTCTATCTCTTAGCAGGAAGCGAATAGAAGAGACCACCACCTCTCTGTAGAAGTTGCAGTATATAAGTGGGAAGCTTGGAGCTGCTGCAGCCATATTTGCTAACATGAAATTGATAGACATACGGCAGCAGATCTGAAAAATTGCAGAGAAAAGGACCCAGCACCTTGATCACACTTTACCTGAAGCTGTTTAGCTCTGTTAGTTACAAGAACCCTACACTCCCGTTATTATTTTGATTTTTAATCACCTGATATCGGTTTGATCTGTATTTCCTGTTCCTTGTAACCGAAAGCATCTTAATTGATACAATGAGGAAATGTGTGTAAAGCAACTGCCCAGAACAGATGCTCAATGACTGTTAGTTATTACAAGGACTATGACACTGCCTCGTGACCATGATGACATAACAAAATAGTGTCAGATGCTGTTTTCACAAAAGCGTTACCGTTCTTCAGGATGCAACCAAAGGATGGAAGGAAGGAGAATGTTTAGTTGCCAAGTGTTGTAGGTTTGGCCAAGGCCAATGTTCGGGTGACCACTCCACCTCTGCATTGATGAAACACCCAGGTCTGGTTATGGGGATTTTACTAAATACTTCTTTTTTCCCTCACTATTGCTTAAGCTGATTTCCTATAGTTTCTGCTGATAACCATCAGAAAGATATAGAAAGCAGACTTCTCCCCCTTAGCTTCATTTGGAGTCAGGAGAGGTTGTGGTGAAGAGGTGGAAGAAGAATGAAAGAACAGACCTCACGGGAGTAACTCCTGGCCTCCCTCCAGAGGTTCCTCCCTCCCCCGCCCTCCGTTAGCTGTGTCCCTGGGGTCACCACCCACACCAGGGTAACTGGCTCTTCACTGTGCTGGTAACATGATACATTCAGAAATCAGCTTCACTTCTTTGCCTGTCCTTCACTGTTCTCCCTGGCAACTCCCCTCCATTTCTTTGCCCACGTCTCTGGCAGATCCTAATGTATTCTGGTCACTTTCAGATATTAAAATAATCTGTAAGGGTTCTCTCCAGATCAAACACCAGTGTCTCATCAGTTAAAAGATCTTCGCTACTCAGCCTCGCCCCGTGGCTTGGTGGCCACCAGTGGGGAAAGGATGAGGAAGGTGTGTTCTTTTACTCTTCCTTCATTCCCTGAACCTGCTCCAGGTCCAGTCATGGTCAGGGGCAGGGGAAAGCAGCTAAGAAGGAAAGAAGTGGAGTCTCTTTAAAGAAGCATTGAAGTTTCTCATTTTCCCAGGGATGTCCAGTGTCCTCTGTCACGTGGGTGTCTACATATGGGCTGCTTCATGGGTGCACTGGCTGGGTTTTGGAGAGGCTCTGCAGAGATCCCCCCCATGGCCACGGAAGTGGGTTTGGGCCCCGGTGAAATATGTTTTTAGCCCTCCTTTCCCCACTCCCCAAACCCATAAGAAAGGGCCTGTTATAATCTTTACATAGGAATTGATCTGATAAGTGAGGCAGTCCTTCCTGGGACATTAGTGCCAGCTTCAATCCCACCTTTCTTGGCACTTACCTCTCCATTCCTGGTGTAAGTGATGTTTCCATGATTGATACCTTTCATGATTCCTCTCAGCTCCTGCCCTCCCTTGGTCACTTCTCCCTCCCGCCCACATCTCCTCCTCCTGATGGATCCCCTCTTCCTGGCATGCAGACCTCTTGGCTGTAGCTGTGACCATTTCTGGTTGCCCACTTGGTTCCCATGACTAGAACAGAAACATCTGTGTTCTGCCAAACTGTAGTAGGGCCGCCCCTCCCCCGCTGCCCCCCTCTTCTCACCCCACTGCTGAGGCAGCCCCCATCAGCCTCTTGCCTTCACACCCCCTGGGCAAGAGTCAAGTCCAGCTTTCATGTACCCTAAACTCCTGGGACACGAGTCAAACTTCCCCAGAGCTCTCCTGGGCTCTGCTCCAATACCAGCCTGGAGCAGATGTACAAGTGTTTGCAGCTCAGCCAACAGGCAGCTGGGAGTGAGATTCCCACCTCCTCTCTACCTCAGACAACCTCGGTCTCTCTGAGCTGTTTTCTGGGCATCTCTGGAAGTGTGGGAGTGTTTCTTTCCCAGCAGGCTGGGGGACCACCCCAGCATTCTCTAGCAGGCTGGCACCTCTGCCTCTGTCATCTGGTGATTGCTGGACCAGGTTGGCCCCTCTGTCTTGGAAAGCCCTGTATGAAAGTAGCTAGCACTACGGGTGGCACGTATCATTCAGATGAAACTCAGAGTCAGCAAGAGAGCTGCATGCCAGGAAGAAGGGGTCCTACAGAAGGAGCAGATGTGTGTTGGGAGAGAAGTTTCTAAGACAGGGCAGGAAAGAAACTGCTCACACCAGGAATGGAAAGAAAAGGGCCAACAAAGATGGTGTTGGAGGGGGCACCAGTGCCTCATGCAGTATCCATGCGGTAGAGCCATTGCTGGGTATTCAGCTAACCTTGTTTCCTTTGCTCCTAGACACGTAGCTTAACTCATATCACTGCTTCTCCCACGGTTAGGTGGAGCCTTGGGAACAAATTCTGGCCCAGAAAGTGTGAGTAGAAGTGAGGCACACCACTTTCTGGTCTAGCTAATAAAACCCATCTGTGTTCAACCCTCTATTCTAACTTTCTGTTCTGTGGTTGAAAAGGGCAGCGATAAATAATTGAAGTACCTTGAGTCCCTGAATGTCTGAGCAAAGCTAAGCAACCTCATTCCCCAGCCCCATCTGGGGTTGCTGGACAATGGCAGCAGGAAAAACTGATGAAAGGGTGTTAGTCATCGAGATGCTTCTTGTTGGTGGTGAGAGTGGTTTTCTTTCTTTCTGAAAACTGCAATTAGCCCTTGGTGACTAATCAATTCTGCTATCCAACTATTAATAAATTACTTCATGATAGGCCAGCATTGGTAAGTTTTAATTAGTGGGCAAGACAGAAACGAGTGCAATTTTCACTAAGGGCGACTTGGTAATTTACGTCGATAGCCTTCCTAACGTTTATATTCTTGGACTCAGTAATTCAGCTTCTGGTCAGGAAATAATGAGAAGCATCCATACAGGTATGTACAAGAATGCTTATTATATATTACAAGAATACCTATTACAGCATTGTTTTATTTGCATTTAAAAGGAGACAATCTAAATGTCTAACAAAAGGGAGCCAATTAAATGAAGTACAATAGAGCCTAATGACAGAAGACTGTCATGTTATTCTTATTTTTAAAGAACATTTTATCACGTAGAGAAATGATCTGGATATATGTAATGTTATTTAAGAGAAACATAACATAATGGTATCACATGTATTATAAAAATAGATGGAAAACTGTAACAACATTCTACATATACATAGAAGTAAAAATAAGATTTCATTTGGTAGTGAAATATACCAACTGTTAACAGAAAATCCCTCCAAGTATTAGAATTTTAGGTGACTTTTGTATTCTTTTATACTCTTCTGTGTTTTTTAGGCTGCCCATTATAAACATGTGTAGCTTTTATAACTTGGACATTTTTCTGACATATAAAAGCTCTAATCGAGTTTTCATTTGTTCCTGATAATTTTTTATTTAGGGCAAGGAGATATCTATAGGTATTTTTTTTTTTTTTTTTGCGGTACGTGGGCCTCTCACTGTTGTGGCCTCTCCCATTGCGGAGCACAGGCTCCGGACGCGCAGGCTCAGCGGCCATGGCTCACGGGCCCAGCCGATCCGCGGCACGTGGGATCCTCCCGGACCGGGGCACGAACCCGCGACCCCTGCATCGGCAGGCAGACTCTCAACCACTGCGCCACCAGGGAAGCTCGAGGTATTTTTTTAAGGCAGAGAAATTAGAGGAAAATCTTCCGCATCTTTTCTTATGCCAGCGTTGAACTGATTTGCAGAGGGTTACTTTATACTGAGCCCAAAGCTGAGCAGCGCCAGAACCTGAGGGTTGGAGGGGCTGACATGCCTGTTCGGGGTGCTGCTCTGATGAAAGTGAGCCATCATCATTTAATGCAGAGTTTTCAGCCATGGCTGCACAAAAGAATCGCCCAGACTCTGACTTCCTGAGCTGGGGCAGGACCCTGGCATCTGGGTACTTTTACAAGGTCGCCAGGTTATTCTAGTGCAGAGCAGGGTTGAGAGCCGCTGGTCTAGGAGCGTGGACCTGAAACGCGGGCCAGAGGAGCTAGGGCCAAGTCTGTTCCTTTCATAATCAGTTGTGTTATCCTCGGCCAGTTTCTCAACCTTTCATATTCTAATTTCCTCCTGTGTAAGCCAGAGGTCTATATTTGTCAGGCCTGCCTCCCAGGGGTATTTGATACATTTCAGAAAGGACTATATGTGTGTGGGTGCTAACCCCAGCCAGGGCTACTTTGCATACATCTGCATACTCCTAAGCCATTGTCTCCTTGATGCTGGCTCTGGATCATGGTGGGGACAGCCCACCAGGCACTGCGAAGATGGGGCCACAGGGTGATTCCTGGGGTCCTGGGCTGAGCTCTGGACCCAGTCCCAAACCTCAGTGCCACCTTAAGCGGGTCTGCAGAGTCCTTCCTGTACGAAGGACCAGGAAAACAAGTCCTTGGCACTGGCTCTGACACAGATTCACCATATGACTGGGAAAAGCTGGGCAACTCCCCCTGTTTCCGTTTCTATATTCAGAAAATACATTGGCTTTTACCACAAATATTGATTGAAGCAGGAAATGTGGGGTCCTGGTAGTTGTATAATGTGGAATAAAACTAGAAATAATAATGATTATGACAATAACAACATCAGGTTAATTAGTCGAGCACAGATTTTTTATCTGGAGCTGCTAAGGGATTTCATACCTTATTTCATGTTTATGGAGCACAGGTTCTGGACGCGCAGGCTCAGTGGGCATGGCTCTCGGGCCCAGCCGCTCCGCGGCATGTGGGATCTTCCCGGACCGGGGCACGAACCCGTGTCCCCTGCATCGGCAGGCGGACTCCCAACCACTGCGCCACCAGGGAAGCCCATGGTGGTGGAGTGTTTTTAACCACCAAGCTGTGAGCTGCCTTACACAGGCTCCGCGAGATGAAAAATGCCTAGCAAAGCTTAGCTATCATGATCACGCACAGCAGTGATTTTCAAAGTGCTGTTGTAAATTAGCAGGACCCTTCCATTGAAAATAAACTTCTGGAAATCTGTCTATATATTGATATAATACAGTGAAGGTGGAGCTGCTTTGCTTGAAGTAAGGATGAAGCCTCCTCCCCCAACCCCACCTCATATAGCAGCCCTAAGTTACTTCTGGGGACGCTGGGGTTCTGAAGAACCCAGTCTGAAAACCACGAATCCCAGCTTTTTGACTCTTTGTGTCTGTACCCTGCCTCTCTTTCCTGGTCCTGCTCTACCCCAAGGCGAGGAAATCATCAGCCAGAAAAACAGAGACCAGAATATTTTCCCAGGGCCCCTGTCACACTCCCGCTTTTCTCCCACACCCTTGGTGGCCGTGGCCGTGCTGGACCAGCTGGGACAGAGGGGGCAGACGCCAGGAGGGCTGGATGCAAGACTCACCGGTTTTATCTGAGTTGCAGAGGATGGTTTCCTTCTCAGCTCTCACGCCAGGGCTGGGGCCGTGCTTCATCCACATGGTGATAGTGAACTGATCCGTCAGGTTCTTGGGTACAACCCCGTCAGGGATCTTGGCACCCTGCCTGCCGTCGAACTTGAAGATCATCTCGCTGCTGTCCACCAGCAGTCCTGCGGTCCAGTTGGTGGCGGCGCTGGGCGACGGCAAGAGGTCGATGATGCCAGAGGAGGCTCCTGCAGGTGATGGGGACAGAAAGAACAAAGGGTCATTCCTCCCAGGGTGGGTGTCCTCACGTTCTGTTTTCTGCTCCTGGGTCAGAATGAACTACTTGGCGTACTTACCCAGAGCTAGGTGCTCAGCCTGAGCTAGGTGACTCGGGAAAAGAAGGGTTAAATGCCATCCTTGCCCGTGTTGTTTATGGTCAGCTTGCAGAGGCATCAGTAACTTACAGACAAAAGTATTGCATGTGGGAGGACAGAGTGCAATTAACTATTATACAAGAAAAAAGTGCTGGAGGAATTTAGAGAAATGAGATTACCCTGGGGGTTTCAATAAGCAGACAAGGGTCCTGGAGAAGGCCAGGGGTTGATTCGGATCGATGGATTCATTCACGTGCTCATCCATCCGTTACCCTGTCAGCCATTTATTGAGCACCAATCGGGTGCCAAGACCCCTGCTGTGTGCCGGCGAAGTAAATGTGGATCAGCACAGTCTCTGACCTGGAGGAGCTCAGACCCAACACATTGACAGACAATTGGGATGCAGTGTGATCAGAGCTGTGACGGGGAAAGTTCAGGTCCTGACCCCACGAGAAAGAGTATGAGTCACTTTGCACTCACCACGCTTTTTTCCAACCATTCGTTTAGGCCAAATGGTATAGCAGTTGAGAACACGGGTTCTGAAAGTCAGCAGAACCTGAACCTGATGCCTGGTGGCGGCCTGGCTTGCTAGCCTTGTGACTGTGACCAGTGACCTCACCTTTCCGACTCTTCACCCCCTTCTCTGCCACCTGCCCTCCCAGCTGTTGTGGGAACTGAATAAGAGACCGCACCTGCACTTGGGGCAGCATGCTTGGCACGCGATGAGCGGAGCTCGCTCCACGTTAGCTATAACCCTGTCGTTATTGTTAGAGCTGTTATTATTTCTGCTACCACTGTGATTCCAGGCTAAGGATATCCTGAGGCCGTGGGAGTGCCATAGACAGATTTGTGTCTTGGGAGAATCACACCAACAGCTTTGTGGAGGGCGGAGCTGAGTGAGCCCACAAGGCTGGCCCAGAAGACAGGATGGCCCAGCTGGGAGGATAACTGGGCCGCCACGGACTTCCCACTGAAGCTCAGGCGCTGCCAGCAGTATTCTCTGCATCCTTACGTCCCACAGAGGGGCAGGGCTCAGCTACTCAGGGGAGGAGGAAGGTCAGGGGCTTCCTCATACCAGGAAACAAGAGCCAGGGAGTCCAAAGTATGCTCGGTGCAGGGGACCAAGTGTGTGTGGGCTCCCACCTGGCACAGCACTGACCCGGCAGTCGTAAATGGGTTTAATGGACAGTGGGTGTGTGTATTACCTGCCATCTGTCTGGGATCATTGGACTTCTGAATTCGGTATATCAGGGCCTCATGTCACCTAGGGGCTGCGTTTCAGAGTCAGCCACTACAAACATCTACAGTTAAAATGACACATGAAAATCCCTCAGGAAGGTGCCATACTGGAAACCGATGTACTTCTTTGAAAATGTTTAACCTAGCCAGTTTTCCCTGCAGCCTTGGAACAGATGCCCATGGGTTTGCAACTGAAAGCTGGCTGTGTGACACATCTGTATCCTTAGAGCAGATGCTCTGCTTAGCCCTGTGAGGAGCTCGCCCTGGGAAAGGCCTCTGGGACCTGCAGTGACTGAGATGTGGCGGGGTGGGAGGTGGGAGTGGAGATTCCGGTTTCTTAATTTACGATCACCCTGCAGCTATGCTCATCAAGGGGAAGTGTGGGCAGCGTTGACTACGTTATTAATGCGTTTTTCTTGGGGCTTTTGCCTGGTAGCACGCCTGACGCATAGTAGGTGCTCCATTAATGTTTATAACTGCCTTTTCTTCTACCCAGTGCCTCCGTGGGATGCTCCCGGGCATTACCCAATGCTCCCATGAGCCTGTTCATCCAGCCTCTTGTTCATGCCCCCCACCTCTCATCAATATTACTTGTTCTCCTATAATCCTTGAGACTTACTTGATGTCCATTTTACTTATCTGATAAGCTAATTCACACTAATGTTTTAACGACTAACAAAGCCTTAAAGGTTATCACCCTCCATAGGTATTTGAAAGAAGAACTCTATCAAGGTGGTAGCAGGTAGAGATTTGGGGGTGGCTGGGGAATGGGAGATATGTAGTCTTTGGACCAAGTTCATCTTCCTAGAACTCCCCAGAATAATGCAACCTGGCAACAGCTGCTCTGCCCCATGAGTGAGTTGGCTCAGACACCAGGATTTGTCCAGCATGACGACAGCCGGTGACTAGGGCTCACAGGGAATGTGTTGGTTCCCGAAATTTCAGGTGGCCAGGGAGATGCAGGCTGAGCACCCAGGTCTCCTGACTTCTAGCTCAAGCCAGAGCAGCCAGCACAATCTAGCAGGGCCCAGTACAGGGCCCACACAGAGCCCCAGGCCTGAGCATGGGGGAACCAGGGCAGGGCTGACAGGGCTCAGAACTCCACCCTTTGAGGTTCCTTTTTTTTTTGTGGTACGTGGGCCTCTCACTGTTGCGGCCTCTCCCGTTGTGGAGCACAGGCTCTGGACGCGCAGGCTCAGCGGCCATGGCTCACGGGCCCAGCTGCTCCGCAGCATGTGGGATCTTCCCGGACCGGGGCACGAACCCGTGTCCCCTGCATCGGCAGGTGGACTCTCAACCACTGCGCCACCAGGGAAGCCCCAGTGTGTATTTAAGACACCCTTAGGAACCCTCACAAAGGTCCCTGGGACCACCACGCTGCTGAGAGTTCACACTGGTCTGGGGCACAGCAGCTACAGCCTGAGTGCAGGAGGCTTACAACCAGAGGTGAGGTCTGGTTTGAATTCCCTGAGCCCTATCAGGGTGGGGAAGCATCTCTGAGTCAGCAAGTAGATAAAGACAGGGGTGACTTAGGCAGATTTCAGGACACACGGTGGAGCGAGAGCCCACATGGAGCCTGGGGACAGTGGTCACCATCTGGACTTCTTAATTGCTGGGTTTGCATGCTGCTTTGGGTGGCCTTGGTGAGGCCTTGGAGAGTGTCCTTAGCGTTTCATGGTAGGCCTGTGGCAATGGTGACAGACATGGAGCCTCAGTCATGCCTCCTCATGGTCCATCATGGGGCAGGGGAAAGGATGGCAAGAAGGAAAGGGTCTCAGGGGAGAGGAACCATTGTGCTCAAGGGCACAGGCCTCATTCTATAGAGCATTCTCACGATTAGCAATAGCAACTCCACGTTACTTCAAACGCTTATGTAATGTCTAAGTTATGCCAGGCACTGTGGTGAGAATGGAGCAACGAACCAGATAGAAATGGGCCCTACCTCTAGTCACCCAGTAGAAAGTCTTTTAGTTTTGGTGCGTGGAAGAGTTCATTGCTAGAGAGTCTCAGGGGAAGCCAGGGAGGCCCTCTTGACAAAGGCTGATAGAAAGCATTCTGTCCTCAACATACTTTTCTGACCCACTGATAGCACTTGGCCTTGTGACTTGCTCTGACCAATGAAATGTGAGTGCAAGTGACGTGTCATCTTAGGGCAGAAGCTTTACAAGCCAGTCCATGGCTCACCACGTGTTTTTTCCATCTGCCCTGAGATCAACAATGTTCTAGATAGAGGCCTTTCTGTTAGCCTGGATCCCAGTGAGAAACTAACATAGAGCAGAGCCACAGTCAACCCGAGAAGGACATGTGGTAGGAATGGAAAACAAACCTTTGTTATTTTAAGCCAATAGATTTTGGGATCACTTGTTACTGCAGCATAACCTGCCCTATCCTGACTGATAAACCACATTAAGTGACTGACATCAGTGGCTACCATTTGCACTTCTCTATCTGCATACCTTCAGGATAGATGTGGAGGACTTTCTGATGTCCTTTCCAGAGCTCACACCGTTGATCCTGCCATCAGACTATCATTCCACCTCTGGAATCCCAGACAAGAGGGGTTCCTCAAAGGCCCTGAATTGTCCAGGTGAAGCAAGCTGGGCTTTGGATGAGGGTGGTCAGCCAAGCTCTTGGGGCAGGGCTGTGGATACCCAGTTGCTGACCAGCCTGGGAAAGGCCACTGCAGGCAAAAGCCTTCTCCAAGAATAGAAGGGCATGCTGTATGGTAGCTGCTTAATTGACTTCAAAGAAGTCACATCCAAAGAGAAGCCCATCGCTCACCGTCATCACCCGTGGGTCAGTGTGTGCACGCTTGCTCATGTATGAGTAGTGATTTAATGGGACTCCCAGCACGCATGCATCAGTTCTCCTTAGAGTCAGAGGCCCACTTCAGCTCTCTGAGAATGGAGACACTGGCTGTGATGGGGGGCTGGCTCTGCCCCCCCGGAAGCTCCAGCTGTTTAGAGGCATCTTGGAGGAACTGATGACGGCTTCCCCTGGTTGGGGTATTCTGAAGGTATAAAAGCCTTGAACTGTGATTCTTAGTGAGGGCAAGCTCTGTTAAGCTGCACGGCGTAGTAGAAAGCCATGGACTGAACTTCTTTTACATGTCTGTCTTCCCCAGGAGACTGAATCGTTAAGTGGTCTTACTAACTTCTAGATAACCTCACGAGTTAGAACATCTGGACCCTGAACAAATATTTGCTGAGTTAATAAATACATGAATGAATGAATGAATGGATTTGCTACGAAGACCTCCTGGACCCACAAGTGTATAAATCCTGGGAACAGCTCACCGACTGGTAATCTGAACTGGTCTGACAGATCAGTCCCTTGACTTAGCAGAAGGGTCTCTCACTGCAGCCTTTCCTTCAATCGGACCTGTCCTCGGAGCTCTTGACTCTACATATAGTAAGCAGCTGACCCCGAGTGTCATATGGGGAGGTGCCGGCCAGATGCCAGGAGCCTGTGATTCCAGGGAGGAGCAGCCCTGGCCTCTGGTCTCCGAATGACATGTGTGTCACAAACTGCTTTGCTGTTTATTGTAATATGCAGAGACTCAGGGGCACGGAAGTGAGCTTTTTCTTGGGCTCTGGTTAATGTCAAGTTTAATTTGGCCAAGAGTCACTGGGGCTTCATCATGCATTTCATACTCAAGGCAGTTCTGTGACACTTCACCTCGGGAAAGCCTGGGACTGAGATGGGAGATCCCTTGATCTGGAATCTCTGAACCCAGAGGAGGTGATAAGCAGCTTGTCCAACTTCCCCGAGAGGCCTGGCTTCATGTAAGCCAGTGGCAATGGGGGACCATGTCAGGCTGTTTTGTCCTACAAGCTGAAGGGGACACAGGTGCAGGGCCCTGTATCGTTTTTGTTTCAAGATGGAATGGAAGTGTTTCCGTACACAAACTGCAGGCAGCGATATGCCTGACGTCCAGTGTTCCCCTGGAAACAAAGAGCCCATTTCTGGTGCTACTGCACCTGTCCGGTGTTTCCCGACAGCAGCTTTGCCCAGCTGTTGTCCGACGGCCCCTTACGCAGGATCCCATCATTGCTCGTTGTGGAGCGACGTTGCAGGAGGAAGAAGCAGGTGGGCAGCGACCGGACCTCCACAAGTCACCTCTGGGGAGACACCCTTGCCTGGGTCACCGCACAACAACAAATGTCACAGAAGCAACGCCAGAACTCAAAGACACCAGGAAGCGCCCCAGGACTGACCCTGGTGAGCACAGAGGGCAGGCGAATATTGACTTAAGGGGAGCGTTTGGAATGGCGAAGGAGAGAGAGATTCTAGCGGGAAGAAACATGAACAAAGGCTTAGGGATGGGAATGAACTGGGAACGGGGACAGATGGGGTACCCTGGCCAAGAAGAGGCAGGACGACAGGGAGAAATGGGCTATAAGGACGGATCAGCAGGATGGAGGTGGGTCCTCGGGGGTGTGGAGAGCCAGGCTAGAGCTAGGCATCCACACCTGGATGTTCCACAGGTCCAGTCATCATTGCCCCCTAAATCTGCCCTTGCCCCGAATTTGGTGGCCACTGTCTGGTGGCACTCTCGTCCAGTTAGATGCTCACATTAGAATCTTCTAAGATTCCTTCTTTTTCACTGCTGACAGCTAATCAGTGATTGACTCTTACCTCCTAAATCTGTCTTAAATTCATCCCTACCGCCACTCCCCCAGTTCAGAAATCATTCTCTCTTGCTTAGACTATGACGATAACATCTTAATTGGTCTCCCTGTTTCCATCCAGTCAATAAAGATTTGTAGAATGAAAAATGCATGAACGCTGGGGCTTAAAGTGTCATGGTGGCTCCCTGGCTGGGAAACCCCGCCAGCAACTTGTCGACTGTCCACTGAAAACACAGAGAAGCTTGTCTCCAGAACCTAAGGTGCCCCATGGGAGTCAGGAATTACAACCCAGGCTCTGCTTTAGAAGCGATCTGGCCTGCCTTTCCCTCATGGTTTGGAGAGCGCGTGGGGCCTGAGGAAGCCGACCCCAGAGCAGATGGGCATCTGTCTCACTCATTTGCTCCTGCCCTTCTTTCCTGAACTCTCCCTCTGCCGATTCAAGAGTCAGACTCCTAACCTGGAGGCAGGAGTGGCCCTGCCTGTCAGGCTCACTCAGGGTTCCCAGAAGTGAGATGGGAGGGTGGCACTGCCGGGAAGGTCACCAGAAAGACAGGCAGACCTCTCTTAACAAATGGTCGCTCCCAACACCAGATAAGCTCGCATCTCAGGGGAAAGTGCTTTCCTGACTGAATTAACCTGCCTTCCTGCCACGCGAGGCTGGCAGCCCAGAAGCAATGAGCTATGTTAACAGCCAGATGCAATCTGGCTCTAAAGTTTCTTCGCTCAGAAAATCCTTCTCACTCAGCTATCTCCTGGTCTCCCCCTCGCAACATTCAGAATCAAATCACCAGTGTGTGCCCTTGGGCCCATCTGATCTTTAACAAGCTGACTCCATCATCTCTTTCTAACCTGGAGGAGTTTAGGAAATGACCGTCACCCGCGGTGGCATGGGGTGGACTTGACTTATAATTCAGGTGTGTGGGGAGCGAAATGGGATATTCATTCAAAGTAAGCTGTCAGCGGAGCTGGCTTCTCCGCTCCCGGACTGAAGGAGAGAACCAGAGGCAGCTTTCTCAATGCTGCGGGTCCCTGAGAGCCATTTTTACAAGAGCAGTTTGGAATATGGAGGTCGTCGTGTTTTTCCGAATCTCCTGCATCATTCCGGAAAAACGTGCCTTCCCACATGCCCTCCTTGCCGGCCTGGTGACATGACAAATAGGACGCGGTGATACCCGAGCAGGGTGTATTTCACATTCAGTTCTCAAATTGTCACTTGGTCCTTTGGGCAAGAGCTGTGTGTGTGAAGGTGTGTGTGTGTGGGGGGCGCACACACGTATGTGCATGTGTGTGCATATTTGTGTATGCATGTGTGTACCTGTGTGTGCATGAGTGTGCATGGGTGTGCATGGGTGTGCATGAGTGTGCATGAGTGTGTCAACGTTGAGAGAGAAAAACTGCCCTGAAGAGAGTAGTGGAGGGGTCCCCAGGAGGGGATGCAGGCTACGCTGTGTGTTCGGGAGCCTCCTTTTCCTTTGGTGGGGATGGAGTTACCCCCAAGCGTAGGCCCCGTCTAAGAGGAAGCTCTTTCCTAAGCTGCCCACAGCCCAGCTGGAGAGTCAGTGTGAGGGCCTGAATATTCTTGGAGAGAACAGAAATGAAATATACGTGGTGGGGATGAAGGAGACCCATCAACCCGTGCACGGTGTGGTTTACCAAGCACATGGCACCATCCCCCCCGTATTGAGTATCTTATTCCACAGCTGACTTGAGCGGTTTACGTTCCAGCTCCAGAGGCCTGGCCCAGAGTCACAGACCCTGAGCCAAAGAGCCCTTCATTCCCACAGACCTACCTTCAAAGTCTGGCTCTGTCACTTTCTATCTGCATGACCTTGAACAAGTCATTTTTCCTCTCTGGGCCTCAAATTGTCCATCTTTAAAACTGGGTGAATAAGACCCTCCTCAGTGTAGTGGGGAACTTAGGGTAGGGCATGTGAAGATTCTAGGAGGGTGCACACAGCAGGTGCTCAATAAAGCTAAGCTTCCTTGTATAGAACCTCCAGCAGCCTGGCTCCTAGTTCCGGCCTGCTCTTTTCTTGGGGCGCCATCTTTCAGCCCGTGGACAGCAAGCCCTCTGTCCCCCACACTTGGACTTTCCAGATCCCACCTCCACTCGCACCCTAGCTCTTCTTTTCCGACTTGGGCAGCCAGGCCTGGCTTCACCGGCATGTGACCTGAACAGTCACACGAGGCCCCCAGCTTGGTTTAATGCTTTGCTGTTGCTGCCTTAAAATTCTCAAGAATTTTGGAAAAGGGTCCTGCACTTCCATTTGCACTAAGCCCTCAAGTTCCATAGCTGGTCCTGCGGGAGGAGACCCACCTCTCCCCAAGTGGCTGACACCACCCTTCACACTGGCCCCTGGGCAGGCACCTCTCTGTAAACCAACACAGTGGAAGGGATCCCTGTTCCTTCAGGCCCTGTGCTAGGTGCTCTTAAACACATGGTGTCGGGCTTCCCTGGTGGCGCAGTGGTTGAGAATCCGTCTGCCAGCGCAGGGGATAAGGGTTTGAGCCCTGGGCCGGGAAGATCCCACATGCCGCGGAGCAACTAAGCCCGTGCGCCACAACTACTGAGCCTGCGCTCTAGAGCTCGTGCTCTGCAACAAGAGAAGCTACCACAATGAGAAGCCAGCGCACTGCAACTAGAGAAAGCCCACGTGCAGCAACGAGGACCCAACACGGCCAGAAATAAATTAATTAATTAAAAAAACAACAACACATGAGGTCATGAATCCCTATTTTACTGATGAAGAATAGAGGCTTTGCCACATCACTTGCCCACAGCCACACAGTTGCTCCATGGTGGGATCTGATCAGGTATGTCTGATGCCAAAACCTGTGCCCTCTGACCCTTTAACCATGATAAGTAAACACTATCCATCCAGAGGTTACACATACCAATGAAGTGGGGAGGGGTGATTCTTTCATAATATAATAACATATGCTTTGTATATATTGTTTAAAAAGATAATTAAAAACTAATCTCAACAGGGAAAAACCTACCACATAATTTCTGAAGGGATTTCTCAGAGTAGGTCTCGCGGTCACAGCCCTTCCCGATGTAGTTGGTCTGCAGCTCTGTGGTGATCTGGATGGAGGACACAGCCCCGTCGCACGTCTCCAGGTGGATGCTGGGGAACAGGGGCACGCTCCCTGAGCCAGGCTGGTACTCAATCCTCTTGGTCCAATCTGAGCAAACAAGGGAAGAATGACAGTAAGTCAGGTACAGACAGTTCCGCTATAACACGTGTTTTGAAAACGTGAATTTATTCCACCACAATTGATATATTAGGAAACAATTTGAGGATAATGGGAATTTCACATTTACTTATGCAAGATTTCTTGCACGAGAAATATTAGGTGAATGCAGAAACCTGCACCCAGCTGAGCTGAGCCGAGCCATGTAGGAATGTACAAAACAGACACATGCACAGACCTCAGACATCTACCAGCGACTCCGCTCACCATGTGTGAAAAGCCACACCCGCCTGGACCACTGTTACAACTTTCCATTCCCATCAGAAAACCCTCTTCACAGTAACGTACCAGCTGCAACCTTTCCTGTGTCCACTTCCACAAGCAAACCTCAGGTCTCTTCAAGTACTATTATTGTAGTACTTATCTATTTCCTAACCACTTAACCTGTGTAAAAGTAACACCGTGCTAACGTTTTCCCTCTCTCTCTTTTTTATGTGTCACTGATGACATTTTCGAGTGTCAAGCCCCTCGCCCCGTTTTCCCCGTTTTGCCCAGCAAGGTGAGTTTTAGGAACATATACCTCTGGTCACAAAATAAAGGCAAACAAGGTAATTCAGGATTACACGAGGCCACGAGGTGAGGTGCAAGGACTCTTTCCCGAACATTCAGGACTGTGACCCACTTAAGTAGGGCTGATGGCCTTATCCCTGCTTTTTAGTGGAAAAATAACTTGGAGGCAATAAAATGCTGGAGAGGAACAAAATCACAATCAAAATGGTACCACACAAAACAGAGCAATCAACAAAAATACACACCAAGCATGAGTGTACACAAGAATTGATTGAAACAACCATAGCAGCCACTGAAAGTCAGAGGCAAGTCGAGGCCATGCTCATGGTGACTGGCAACAGCGCTTACTGAGAGCGACGGCTGCCTGAGAGGTCTGCGCCAGCCTGAGCCATACTTGTGGGTAGAAGTCTGAATCATCAAGGAACATGAGTTGTGGATACTATTAGTCTATGAATCTCAAACATTTGTCACATTGCTAGATGGTATCCTTTTGCTAAGGTAGAAATGAAAATCTATGGACTGCCTGCCCTCACCCTTGAGAAACTCAAGAGAGTCCTGCATGTAGGGTCATTCATCAGCCACCAGGGGGTTCCCCACAAACACCCCATGGGCCACCGGCCGCCACCTTGAGGAAACCAGTGGAGTGGAAGGGCTGGGCTTAGGGACTGTCAGATGGCTTTGTTCGGTAAGAAAGCATTTATTTGTTTGGGGTTCTTATGTACCTGGCTCTGCTTGTAGCATCACGGATACAGCAGTGAAGGAGTCAGGAAGGGTCCCTGCCTTGTGGAGCTGGGAGAGAGAGGCACATAATGAATATGTCCATGCTGTCCTGTCAGGGAGGGTAAGTGCTATGAAAGGAAAAGTGGTGACAGAGAGTGACTCTTTAGATGGAGAGAGTTCCTGTCTGAGCTGAGACCTGAACGTCAAGGATGAATGCCCATGGGAAGCCTCAGAGAAGTTCATTTGAAGTGGATGCCGCAATGCTCTTGGCTTGACTCAATCAGGTCAGGAGTTTCTTGGGAAGGTTGGTGAAGGTCTCCTAGCCTCAAGCCCCTCATCAGTGAAGTAGGGACCACACTGGGGGCTGAGGGCCAGGTGCAACAATGCAGGCCTGACATGCAGTAGGGCCCCAGTCCATGTTATTCCTTCCCCAGCGAGCAAAGGAGATGTGCATCCCCCCTGCACTGCAACCCTGCCACATTCCAGCTAACCAGGTCATTTGGGTTTAGCTCTGAACCCCTGCATTAACCAGCCATACTTTAAGGGGTTTCTCTGAGCCATAAGCAAAGATTGCACACCATGTTGTGGGGTTCATCACCAGGGAACTTGCCGTGGGAGGATATTTAAATGATGGCGACTACAAGTAAAAGAGAATACACCCAATTACATGTTTTTACTCAGAGCTCCGTGGAGCTGTGTCTTCTCCTGGAGGATGAGATCATGAAGCTGCTATAGCCCACGCTCTAGAGGTCAATCTAAAGGACCAATCACTGGTAGACAGGAGGGTTTTTTCTTAGATATATCTAAAAGTCACAGTGCTGTAAGCAGAGGTCCGCACATGACAAGTCTCGTCGTGTCCTAGGTACACAATGTTTCATACTATTGAGCATTCAATCATGCCATTTCTTCTGCGTGGAGTGCCCTTTCTATTCTCTTCTGTCTGTCACCGCCCCCATGTAACCTTTCAGGATTTCTCCAGTCTGGGTTGAAACCCTCCTCTGAGCTCTCACAGCATATTCACCATTAGACTACAGTATTAGACTCCAAGCTGACGGTTACCCTGAGTCCCCATCATTTTGCACAATGGCCGGCACAGAGCACATGCTCACTAGACAGTGGTAGGAAGTGTGAATGGATCCTGTAGGATATCATCTTGGAATTATCCATTCGTGTGCCTGCCTCTTCCTGTAACTAAGAACTCTTTAAAGGCAGGAATTGTGAGTTTATTTTTGATCCCTCCACACCTAGCTCTGAGCACAGGAAATGTTTGCCAGGTGGATCTGAGAAGCCTCAGAGACCTAACCTTGACTTCAGCCATGGCATCCCTTCTTGAGCCACAGATAGAAGCCACAGCCTGTTTGTAGCTTCTCTGGTACTGCCTCCGTCTGCCCCTACCCTCAGTCCTGCAGAACCATCCATCCCAACAGCAGCCCATCACATGTTTGCTTTTCTTTGTCCTCAGCAAGGCAAGTGGTCCAGAACTGATAATGGAGGAATCTCTTCCCAATAATTAAACATGGTGTCAAGGAAGGGGCCTCTTTCCTTCCCTTCCTCACTCTTCTCTCCCTGGATCTTCCTTTTCTTTAGAGATACAGATTTAAAAATAATCAGGGAAATGGTTTTGTGCAGGGGGACCTTGGTATGGCCTTACATCAGTATCGATTCCCTTTATTCTGTGGGGACTGTGGGTGTCTCTTTGTCATCTAGATATTTTTGTGGTTATCTCTAATGAGAAATTCCACATCGAGTCCTTTTCTGAAGGAGTGTAAATAAAGAAGCAAATAAATAACGAAGGAAAAGTCAGTGGAGGCACAGTCCTAGCAAAGTTTTAATTCCTTTTGCCGCCCCTGGGTAGAAGGGACAAATCCTTCTCTGGAGAGAAATCAGGCACAGAAGAGCTTTAGGATCATCACACCTGCCAGTTGCTTTGGTGACCTCATGAGGCTTGTTTTTGAGGGTTTATGAAGCGTAGGCAAAATTGCAACCATATAGTAAAAGAAATCAATGAAGCTTTCTGAGTGTAGCGTCCTGGAGACAGTGGGAAGCTCACACAAACATCTTTCATTTTCCAAGAAGGAGTTGGGGTGGGGATTAAGAGAGCAAAATGCAAGTCATCAAATTCAGCCTTTGTCACATGAAATATCTATTCATCTTCATTTTCCAGAGGGAAGGATGGCAGGATGGCTAAAAGTATGACCTTTAAATTCAGGGTGTCTGTGTTCAAATTCCAGGCCTCCCACTTCCTGTGTGAACCCTGGGCAAACTACTTACCCACCTTGAGTCTCAATAAAAGTCACACCTACCACCCAGGATCTGGGGGGATTAAATGCAGTCGTTTCAGCCTCAAACACAAGGGACATATTCAACAGTTATTATTGTTAAGTGATTATTTATGCAATAACATTTATTGCAGGAAATAAGAAGACATACAATTATTAGCACCTACAAGGTGCTAAGGGCTTTTAGGTCTCTTCTTTCATTTAATCCTCCCAGCAACCCAGTGAGTGAGTGCTACTATCTTTTCTTTTTTTAAAATAAATATATTTATTTATTAATTTTTGGGCTGCGTTGGGTCTTCATTGCTGTGCGTGGGCTTTCTCTAGTTGTGGCGAGCAGGGACTACTCTTCGTTGCGGCGTGCGGGCTCCTCATTGCGGTGGCTTCTCTTGTTGCGGAGCACGGGCTCTAGGTGCACGGGCTTCAGTAGTTGTGGCACACGGGCTCAGTAGTTGTGGCTCACGGGCTCTAGAGCGCAGGCTCAGTAGTTGTGGCACACGGGCTTAGAGGCTCCGCGGCATATGGGATGTTCCCGGACCAGGGCTTGAACACGTGTCTCCTGTATTGGCAGGCAGATTCTTAACCACTGTGCCACCAGGAAAGTCCATGAGTGCTACTATCTTAATTGTGCAGATGGAAAACTGTGGCTGAGCGTTGGTGTGACTTGCCCACAGTCACAGGGCTCTTTTACAATAGCTCCTCCATGATTCTGAGCATTTGCTGGAACTGAGAATGGTGAGTTTTACAGATTCATTTTTGTTTTTCAAGATTTTAAATTTTATTTATTTGTTCAGTTGCGTTGGGCCTTTTTTGCTGCGCGTGGGCTTTCTCTAGTTGTGGCGAGTGGGGGCTACTCTTCGTTGCGGTGCGCGGGCTTCTCCTTGTGGTGGCTTCTCTTGTTATGGAGCACAGGCTTCAGCAGTTGCGGCACGCAGGCTCATTAGTTGTGATGCACGGGCTTATTTGCTCCGTGGCACGCTGGATCTTTCCGGACCAGGGCTCGAACCCGTGTCCCCTGCATTGGCAGGCGGATTCTTATCCCCTGTGCCACCAGGGAAGTCCCCAGATTCATTTCTGAACCTTCAATTTGCACTGATATATCAAAAAAAAAGATGATAATCTCTGATGCTCGTAAAGGATCAAGGAGTGTTGTCAGTTTTATCACTGCTTGACCTTGGGGGCAGTTTGTGTGGGTTGCTTTGACACTGAAGACTGGAGAGATCTAGGCTTGAATCTCATCTCCTCCAAATGCGGGTCATGTGACTTTTGCAAAACAGTTGTCATCTCTGGGCCTCCGTGGCCTCATCTGTAGATTCGGGATAGTTACATCTCCTCGTGGGCTCATCGTGAGCGTTGAAGGCTAAGGGCCCAACACAGCAACCTTCCTGCTGAAGCCTCATGATAGAAACATCCCACTCCTTGGTT